GCTTCCTCGACCTTGGGCTCTTCCTTAGCAACCTCCTCAACCTTGGGCTCTTCCTTCGGAGCTTCCTCGGCCTTGGGCTCTTCAACCGTAGCTTCCTCAACCTTAGGCTCTTCCTTAGCAGCCTCCTCAATCTTGGGCTCTTCCTTTGCAACCTCTTCAACCTTAGCCTCTTCTTTAGCAGCCTCTTCGACCTTGGGTACGTCCTTAGCGGCCTCCGTCTCGACCTTAGGCTCCTCGACCTCTTCAACAGCAGCTTCGGCAGGCTTTTCTTCATCCTTAGCCACCTCAGTCTCAGCAGCCTTCTCTTCCTCCTTAGCCGCCTCAGCCTCAGCAGGCTTCTCTTCTTCGGTGGCAGGCTTGTCCTCCTTGGACTCCTCGGTAGCGGTCGTCTCTTCCGCCTTGGTCTCCGTAGCAGCGACCTCCGGTGTGGCCTCGGCAGGCGTGGTCTCAGCCGGGTCCTTAGCAGTGGTGGATTGAGCGCAGCCCATGGTTAATAGTACTGAAGTGGGTGGGTAGTGAGGTCTCGACTTGTGTCCGAGCGTGCAGATTCGCGAATGACACGCACGATGGACGGGGGGCGACCTGCGTCGGGAAGCGGTGTAAAGTCGAGCCGTCGCAGTCTCATCATCGCAACGTGCTTGCAGCGACGGGTTTGCCCACTTCGCCGCGCCTGACAATTCATGTATCGTCGCCCCATCGCGGCATTAAGTCGCGTGCATAGCGTTTCGAGCGGTCGACTATGTCGCTTTTCGTCCAGGAGTTGGAGGTGCGGTGCTGCGAGCCTGATGAAAACGTCGAGTTTTTGCTAGCTCGCCGTTGCTTCGTGCCGCGGCATTGACTGGTTGTTAGTCGCCGGAGCTCGTTTGCTCACTCCCGACGACATGCACGCCATTGCTGCTATGCTCCGCCTCTCGGTGGTTGCCTTGTCAGGCGCTGACCGACGTCCACTTGGACAGGCATTTGAGCCCCAGTCGTACAAATAGCAGAGAGACGAACGACGTGTATTGTTGGTGTGTCGTCCGGTTTAAGAGGTGAAGCGAAGGCACCTGATCGTCTCGAAGCGAGATCTAACGGTGAAATGTGACGAGTACATGTACTTTTGGCCGAAGTGTATATCGCACAAGGCGACGACATACATGTGCTACGCGCCGTGAGCAGAGCCCCACGCGTCCAACAGCCGGGTAGAGCAGAGGCCAGACAACGGTGTAGACACGGGGGCCGAGCATGGTCCAACCTCTTTATTTCCGCCGGACAAGTTGTCCGGCGGAAAGCGTCTCCTCAGCATGTCCTAAGACGGCGACGCGAATGAGTTGCATCGGATCTGTTGCAGTTCAAGTTGATGCCGCGTACGCCGACTTGATTCAAGGCTTGAAGAGCTCCAGAGTGAGTTGTCAAGAAGAAGCGTAGCCACTTGCGGCCAGGATGGGGATTAGAACGGTGTGCCCGCTGGGGATGATTCATGCCGGAGCAGGCGCGGCGCGGCTGCGGCGAGCGAGTACAGCGAGCGACCCAACATGCACCATGAGTTGAACTTCATGCCTAAGGATCTTGAGCTCAAGGTATCTTCGAGGGCAATGAGTGTAGCCATCTCGTGCAGAGGGACACGCTTCTTCGACAGTCAAGCAGAAGCTCCGTGACGGCTGCAATACCTGGCGGAACTCGGTGCTCTCCAATCGGATACATGTATATAACTACGCACGCGGCGTGACAAGCTAAGTGAATCATACTGGCGACTCAATCAACTCTCGTTGGAGAGTGGATGTCTTCAGCTACTGCCACTGTCACCAGTCTAGAGCTTGGTACGTCGCGACCAACACCCTGCTATTTAGTACCTTCGTTAATTACACCCCGCCACGCCTTGGACTAGCGAGTCGGCGGTTCTGTGGCTGACGATAACTGCTGGATTCTGTCGAAACCAGGACTGCAACTGGTCTGAACTAGACCGGAAGTGGTTTTCCCAAAGATTTCGTGGCGGTTCACTTGTCGAGGACAGGCGTAAAAGGTTGCGATCATCACGTCTTGACTCTCACTTGGCACTTCGTGTATCGAACA